CTGCACGTATCGGACCCTTATTCCTGATCACACCCCGCCTTAATACCTACTTGCCTGCAAGATTTGCTAGCAAGAGTCAGTTTTATGAGCGTTGGTCTTCCTTTAGGAAAAGACAGAAATGTCTTCGACAGCTACTTTTCAGCACAGGAAGGTGGGTGGAAAGATGAATTTTTTTTGCAGGTCATATGCAGAGTTTCAAACATACCAGCTCATGTCCGGTAACACAGAGAAATGGCAATCCTTTGGAGTATGAAGTGAGGACAACCTGGTACCAGGGCTAATACTTTTTTTAAAAGAAAAAAGGGTGACCTAAAAAAAAAAAAAAAAAAAAATCGGGAAATGAAGGTAATGTAAAAATCAACGAAGAAGTGAACTAAGTAAAGAAAAGTTAAATAATAAATAATTACAATAATTCAGATCATATGAAATATATTTCTATATATTCATATGTTTATAATTATTTATAATAGAAAGATAAATGCCACAGGCATTAAATGGAATATCAGAAAAAGGTGAAGATGGAGAGGAAAGTTTGGGGGAAGAGAAGCAGTCTGGTAATCAGGGTTGTTCTGGGCAGCACACGGACACTCTGCACCTCCACGTCAGGCTGCCAGCAGGCCAGGAGAGGCTTCCCCACCCCTTTCCTGAGGTTCAAAACCCCTTGACAGTGAGGGCGCTGTTCTGGAAAGCCAGGACAAGCTCTTGCTCAGCAGGGCCTTTTCGGTGTGCTGTAATTGCACAGAGCCACCTTGCACTCACGGTGTATTTTAAAAATCCACTGCAACCTCTGAAAAATGGTGAGCCACCGTAAAGGACATTCGCACAGGAGTGGAACATAAATCCTTCATCTCCCCTGCTCCTGGGAATCACAGTAAAGACTAAGACTCCACGGCAGGAGTCTTGGCAACTTATCAAAACATCCTGATTTATAAAGGACAGGGGAAGACATAAAATACCAAACTTACAGGTATTCTAGATGGAAGAGACCAGCAAAGGCATCATCTCGTATAACAGTGAAGGAGTTGGAGTTCAGCAAGCTGAAAATGGAGAGCAGACATTAGGAAAGCACATTAAAACTTGACACACCGGATTATGCCCGTTGTGTTTATTGCCCATGACCAAACTAATCTTACTGACTCGAGCCCATATTGCCTCACCAATGCAGCACACATAAAATACTGCAGAATGGTCTATAAAAAAAAAAAAAATCAAAGGCATAACGTGATGCTTGTTAATGTCCAGTGCTCCTCAGGAAAAATGTTCGCTGTGCCATTCACCTTGGTTAAACGCAACCTGGCCCTTGACTCTAGTCCCCTGAGCAGGAAAAGCCATCCTTAGAGCACAGGTCTGCTGAATGTGGATCCCAGTTGCCCACCACCCCTCCAGCCACACCAAAAATTTTCAAGTGACCATCTCAGTGCCACTCCTGAGCTCCCAAGAAAGGGGGGGAGCCTGTCTGTACAAGCACCAGCTCTCATTTATGCAGTCTCAGTGGATCAGCACTTGCTCGTTCTGCGCTCCCAGGGGGACGTTGCAAGCCTGACCGGCAGACGGGCTACAGCCCATGGTGCAGGAGGACAGCGCATGGTTCACACGGCCACGGTTTGTCAGCTGGAAACACAGACGTGCCCAAACTGCCAGAGACAGAGTCACCTGCTACCCATGCAAAGCCAAGCCCCATGTCTGCAGGCAGCGAGGAAGAGCAAATTCCAGCCACTGCCTTGCCCTCCCGTGTGAACTTCAGGGACAAAACATGTTAGAGCTGCACCAGAGCGGCTGTCACCTGAGCCAGGACAAGGCGGTCAGGGAGAAGGATGATACGGAAAGGCTTTGCCAGCAAAGTTCCTTCTCTGCTGTATCAAAGCACGACAGCAGACAGTCTCCCAATGCTGATGTTCAAAGGCACAGAGAGCAATCTCCTTTTAAGAAAATAGCAAAACTTATTTGGTCTAAAAATTGAACCCTACTCGGAAGAAATAATTTTTGGAAAATCTCAGAATTTTCCGCTACAGGTGAATATGTCTGCACTAATCACTTTATTAGAGTAAATTAGTAATCCTCTTTTTGTACGGTTTTAGGCATTTTACTAAAATTAACTTAGAAGACTAATGAACATGCAATGCAAACTTGCCTTGTGATCCTCGGTTATTATGCTATGTTAGACAAATGCTCCTTAAATTATCCCAAAGAAATCTAACAAAGATGCAGACCGCCATCAAAAATAAATCCTTGCTCAAACATAAATATTTTACCATGGCTACTGCCACAGAAGACAGAGTCCTGAGGTACCCAAGTGCTCAACTATGCATATATCTCTTTTGTCATTTAATCATTCTTTTTTTCTCATGTTTGAAGGGAAAAGTCACAAATTACACCAACCAATAAAATTTGTCAGGGCCCAAGGTGGTGGTGGCAGTGGTGGCAAACCCCTCTGGCTCCCATGTCTTATCTGCCACATGAAGTGACACGGGCAACTTCTGGCTTTCTCAACAACTGCCCTCTGCCCCACCACCCCAACATCTCCTCCTGGAAATCTGCTACAGCTAAGGAAAAGGGATAACCTTCATCTGCTCTTCCTCCCTCTTCCCAGTACCACTATCCAAAACAAGCCAGATTCCCCCCATCTCTAAATTTCCACCCATGGTTTCTCTCAACCCACCCTTGGATTCATCCCTTTCCTTCCCAGCTGGCACAGGTCTGCTGTTTGCCCCCATTCACTGGTGGGCCAAGTCCCCCTGCCGTCTGCCCAGGGCTCTGTACTGGCCCCCAAGTCCCACAAAAACTTGGGTTTGCAACTGGTGCCACACTAAAGAAGGTGAAAGCCTCCAGCCCTTGCTTTGCCCACTTCTCCCCAGCGTTTTCCATGGGGTGCTGCTTCCCCCAAATAGCAAGACAGGCCTTTGAGGTGGGGGTGCCCGCAGAGAGGAGGCTGGCCACGACGCTACCAAATGCTTTTAGGGACTATCTCTTGCTAAGACCACTTTTTAATATCTAGCTCTGTGCCAAGTGCTTAGCCGGGGTTTCTGGCGTGTCTCACATCTTTTTGCCCAATTTTTCTTTGCGGCATGTCTTTGCTTCGGGGGTAACCCAGTCCTTGCAGGGGAAGGCGTGGAGGGTCCGCTTGGTGTTGGGAGTTACAGGCAGGCTGTGCTGGGCTGGCCAGGGCACGGGCAGCGGCACGGCTTTTCTGCCGGCTACCAGGGAAGCGAGTGCCCGGGCTCCCCTGGGGGGCTGTACTGCACCCTGCATCTCCGTGCCTTCCCTGCTACTGCCTCCCAGGACAGCAAAATGAAAGCAAGTTTGGGTAAGCTACCGGAGCTGCAGGCACACACCCCACCGCAAGACGGGCCCAACCGAGAGGTTTGTCCGAGGTCAGGGAGGAGGAAGGGCTGCAGAGCGGGGGGAGCCGGACCGCTGTGCCCTGGGACCGAGGACCACCCCGCCTGCAGGTCCATCAGCTCAGAAGGCGTCCGGGGGGCTGCCCCCCAAGGCGGATGCTGGAGCGGAGCCGCGCTGCGGGCACCGCCGCCCTGC